TAGAGACCCTTCAAGAAATATCAGATTTAATAGGGAAAAAATAGAATGACTCCTAACCTTCTTCTTTTCTGTGTTCTTACCCTGGAACCCTAATCACCAGCACTGTAATATCATAGGCTGGGAACGTTCGCTCTTATTTTCCACCAGCCTTATTGAAGTATAATTAATAACTAAACATGTTATATATTCAAGCTATATAACTTGATATTTTGATATATGTGCACATTATGAAATAATCTAGCTAATTAACCTACCCTCTCTTTTCTTTGTTTTTGGACCCTCTTAGCCAATTTCAAGCATACAGTACAGCACTGTTAACTACAGTCACCATGCCATATGTTAGACCCCCAGAACTCACGCATCTCACATATTTAAACTTTGGACCCCTAGCCGACATCTCCCCATATTTTCTCCCCCCGCCCTCTGGCAACCACCACTCGTCCTCTGCTTTTGTAGTAGAGTAATTTGCATGCCTTAAGCCTGACCTATTTTAAGTGTGCGATGCAGTGATTTTTAGTGAGTTGAAAGAGTTGTGCAGTTCTCATCACAGTCCAGTTTTATGACATTTCCATCACCCCAGAAAGAGGGAACATTTGCTCTTGCAATGTTCGGGAATGGTTCCCATTGTTGTACCTTATCTTATTCTATACTTTGATTAGGCTCATGAATGGATACGGTCCAGGTTGGAGTTGAGAAATACGTCACATGGTGGCAAATGGGAGTTCCTCCATCACACTTTCCCGGAGGAGTGAACATGAAAATAATAGTACCCAGACTGAGGGAAAGAGAGCTAACCAGCCCCTTGGAAGTTGACAAAGGAAATGAGGGCAAGTGAATTTGGGGATAAAATGGGAACAGGCAATGGAAGGAAGTGAAAACACATCAGGCTTTGTTTATTTAAAGGTCATATAATTGTGCCTGGGAAACTTTTTTAGGGCAAGGACAGGGCTAAAGAAAGGATATGTACATAGAAAAGAGGTCTTGCTGGTCCAGAAATTGCAGATAAGTGTTTGCAAGCTGAGAAGTGGGCCAGCAGGAGCCACAGTGCCAATCAGAGCCAAGAGGCAAATTTCCTTGAAGAGCAAAGTGAACGGAAATGAACTGTAGGTTCATTCCTGTTAATTGGCATCACTTGTCGCAGAGCTAATAAATGGCAGGCTCAAACCTTGTTCAAAAATGCTGATTCTAAAATCAACATAAAATCAATATTTTTTAAATGAATAGCTTCAAAGATAAACATCAATTTAAGCTTAGAACTTGTAACTCATTTAATTGTATGAGTGAAATCCATAGGAGGTAAACAAAACAAATACTGTATTCTTCTAGTTCTTTTTTCTAAGCCAATCTTCTAGCAAAAAATAAAATAAAATTGGGAAGACTGTGTGGGGAAAAGCAGAGATCTGGGGGGTGGTGGTGTTGTTTTTCCTTCCACAATTTCCTGAAGCACACTGTTAAACCCTGTGAAGCCAGGGACTAATGTAATTTCCACACAAGAAATAACTGCAAAACGTTTAAGCTTCTCCCCTATGCTGTATGGAACCTCGTTCATTTTCATGCATTTATGGTTCCAAAGCCTGTCCAAGCCAAATGGTGACCACTGGATCTTCTTCAGAGGGGACGGCCTGACCCACCCCAGCGGGGCTGGCAAGTGCAGGATCATGCACAACGCGCAGCTCAGCTGGCCTCTGCGCCCACACAGGGCCTTCGGCGGCGCCGGTTATCAGAGGGCTCCTCTCCTTAATGGGAGTTCAGGAGGAAGGTCCAGGTTCCACGTGTGAGGTTGGGGGTCAGTAGCACAATGGAGGGATTTAAACCACGAGATTAAATGAGACTGGTTAGGAAGGACAGGAAGATTTAAAAAAGAAGAAGGAAGGAAGAAAAAAGGAAGAGTTCTAAGGGCTGAGCCCTGGAGCAAGCCAATGCCAGAGCGGGGGACGCAAGGGGGACCGGCAAAAAGTTCCTGAAGTGGAATGTCCGGGCCTGAATATACAGTCTTTGTTTTAATTGTATTTTGGTAGCAATCAGGGTATACGAGTAGGAATGTTATTTCACTATGTTATTTCTTTATATCTCCAAAATATGACAGCCCAGTAACAACATGCATGCGCACACACACATACGAATAAAGGTGTGTGTCTATTCTAATTCAATGGTATTACAGAATTTAAATAAATAGAAATTAAATTAAAATGTATATATTCACATATATACATTTAATTGTTTCACCAATGGAAAATTACGAAACCAATTTCAATTTTTCATTACCTAGGATTTGCTATATTATTTACATCCTATAAAATACTTTTTTCCCCAAGCAAATATTTTGTTCTGCTGGTTTCCTTCTGATTGATAGTTAATTCAAGTGTTTGGATTCAGTCTGAATTTCAGACCACTATAAAACAGAGTTTAGCTATATTCTTTTTATCTCAATAATTAAATTATACTCATAACTTTCCGTTTAAGAAGCTATAACTGTTAAAATATATGACATGTTTAAAGAGTAAGGCACTGAATAGGTAGAGGAAATTTATGTAGGCTTAAAATTATTTTGTGGTGGCGATATTTTTTTTTTCCATACCAAACTATTTCATCTTGGACACCAACATTGGCTTTTATTGTGGAAGATGAATCTTTCAGCCTCACTCGATGAGGTGCGCATCATTCAAAGACCTAATCAGGAGAAGCAACGGCTGCCACCTAAGTCCGCTCCAATGGAGACCGACCCAGGAACCCGGCCAGGAGTTATACTAAGGACCCGTGATGGCGTTGCCAGGGAATCTGCATTTTTAAAAATAAACACTCAGAGCCCACCCTCATCCCTCAGTGAGCACAGCTGAACTAAGAAGAAAAGAACGTGTGAGAAGTAAATCTTGAAAAATGTGTGTTAGGTTCAAATGGAGAGGAGACGCTGAGGGAATTGGCAGAGTAAAAAAATATGTAGACAATAATAATGAGAGTAGATAATGTCGGGGATGAAGTAAAAATGAGTGGAGAAAGAAGGCCCTGGTGACCGGACTCAGAAAGGACACACGGGAGTGCGGGTGAGAGGCCAGGGAGGACACCACAAAAAGGGGACAGGCATGGGAAGAGCGAACTGGAACACCACACACGGCCTTGAGAAGGCTGGCTTCCCAAGCCAGAGCTGTGCTGTGGGAGGCCCGTCAGGACCCAGAAGATGACACCAGAGAGCAAATTATCATGACCAAAGTGCAGGTCAGTGAAAAGGGGTCACCCGCAGCTGCTACACGCTGCTGTCTGGGTCAGGTCTATAGTGGAGTCCTGCTCTCTGCGGTCAGGGCTCTTGGACACTAAACGCCATCCTCACAGTAGCTTCAGATGAGCATTGTCTCCACAAAGATAACACGAGGTTGTCTGATTTACTGAATACCAGGGTGGACAGAACTTTCTATCCAGCCTGAGTGCAGATGAGTAGGGGGACACCCCAGTTGATGATTTTTGCCACAGGCCTTAGAACGCTCCTGTCTAAGATCCAAAGAGCCAGAAGGAGACCTAGGAAATTGGCAGGGACATTGTTTTCTTTCTCCTCCTTGCCATTGTTATCTGTCTGGTGCCTTAATTTTCATTAAAATATATATGCCAAGCAGTTAAGGTATGTTTTATGTTTAAGCTTCTGTTTCTGAAATTTAAGTCACGTGCAAAAAGTGAGAGCAAATTCTCCTAGATGTTACAGCCTCGCGATGTGTTTTCTTTATAAACCTATACCCCTCATTGACTTCTGGTCCTGTCTTGTAAAGGATTCAAGCAATGAAGCACATTCCTTTTAATCATTATGCAAGAAGAAATTAAATAAATAGCACAATAGGAATATTCATTGTACGCTTTCAAAAGAATATTGTCTCCCTGAAGAAACTGATCCTTTCCCCTGAAAATCATTAGTGTAAAGAGAAGGGGAGAACAAATACTTACTTGTGATTGGGTTCTAATTTCAAAATAAGAAATGGAATGATGGGAATTTTAATAATTTAGCTGGCAAATGTATAAGAAAATATTCAATAATACTCAACATAGTTTGCAAGGTATTATGAAAAGTGCTTTGACACTTGAACGTAAAGGGATGTAAGTAAGCTTTGCACCAACCAAGTGGATGTACTAACCGTGACTTCTCTTTCTTGGTGGCTGGTGTTTTGCTCTTTTATTCCTTTCCCTGCTGGAATGCCTCCTTTACCTTTCCTAAGGAAACTGACCAAAGATTTCCCTCCATGGAGTCCTTACCCCATAACATGCTTGACCAACTCCTAGATGATGGTTATAAAAGTCAGCAATGCTTTAACTAGCAATCAATTTTAGATTTTTTTATAACTTAAATTAAAAACCACAAGGAACCAAAAAACATGATGATATAATAGCATAATGGAATTTTTCTGCTAGAAATGCCCTTTTCCTATCCAATAAAATTCTCCATATGCCTGCTTGGCATTAATTTCTTTTCTCAGCTATTAAGATGCGCTTCTGTGCCCTAAGTATCATGGGGGAGTATATGGGTAGTGGTCAGTGGATGCTTGCTCTGTGTCAAGCACTCTTTTAGGTCCTTCCCATGAATGATCACCTGTCCTACCTACTTCTTATGACTATAAATAATTATTGGATAATTATTCCCACCGTCCTCATGAGGAAATAGAAGGCTGCTCAAGGTTACCCAGCTAGTAAGTGCTGGAGCCAGAATTTTTAATTCAGAGTTCCCTGAATATAAGGCTGAGCCTTTGCCGTCTGTACTATGTGACCTAAACAAATGAGTTCTAATACTAATTGGTTTTGATTTTCAATACTTGACATATGTAATCACAAAGAATATTCCTAGTGGTTGAGTAGGGACTGGATTTATTTTACCTAGTACACTCTTGTGTCTCTTAGTACACTTCTTATGTATTCAATAAGAACTCATGATATGTGGACTTATGTTTATCACTTGCCATCTCATACTAAGGGCTGAACTCCCTTTCTGCTTTGTGTCTAACTTGCCTTTGTCTTTGTTTTTGCAGTACTGGGTACCAGTTTATTTACTATTCACCTGAAAACACAGCCAAAGCAAAAGAAGTTCTCAGCAACATCAATCAACTCCAGCCTCTGATAGCAACCCATGCAGACCTACTGCTTGATTCTGCAAGCCAGCATTCTCCAGACAGTTTGAAGAATTCTTTAAAGATGCTTTCAGAAAAAGTAAGATCCAAATCATCCCTACAGTGGGGAAAATGAAATACCCAAATCCCCATTGCCGTTGCTTTATGCATACATTGCCTTTCATAGAACCTGGAAATGTAAAATAGAGTAAGTTAAAAAGTAAGCTTCAAAGTATTGCCATAGGAGCAAACTGAACTGGCCTCATTCTCTTTTCAAACCTTGCTGAACATTAATTTTTTTTCCTAGTAGGAAATGAAACCTGTTATTGGTGGGTATATATTTTTTCTTTTCCTTGACATCCTTCATTTTTTTTGGTTCATGGTCTTATAAAATGAATTAAATTAGGTTTTGAAAATTACTTTATTTTCCTCTGGTGATCACCTAATTTTTACGCATATGAAGCTATACATTTGAATAGGAATGTCACTTCATTTGAAAGCAGGTCTTTGATGTGGATTCTTATGAGTAGCATGGGGTAATTTCTCTGCCTGACTCACTTTCAACATTATCTACTGGGAGAAGATCCAAAATATTAGTTGCTGTTTGAAATGTAGCGGGACCTGAGCCCTCACTTCCCCGGTGACTTACACTCTGTGTGCATAGAGGAAGGCAGTCCAGCACAGGACAGACCCTCACCGTCAACGTCCATGACTGATTAGGGCAACGGAACGACCCAGAGAGAACCAAGGTCGAAAAAGACAAATTGCAGCTTGATTTTAAATGCAAAACCAGATGTCCTGGCATCCAGTTCCAATACGTCCGTCCTTCACCTCTGCAACCTAAGGACACCTTGTAACTTATTGTGAGATACTTTCAACAAATATGCCCTTGAAGAAACGGACCAAAGAAAATCCTCCCGGTATCATTTTAGAATAAAATGACAGTGTGGTTCTTCACATCCCTCAAGAACAGATTCATAGAAACCTGGATCCTATATATGGATACTTTTTATTCATATATGCTAATTTATAATAATACTACATTTTCATTTTAAAATGTCCATTATTCTATATTTTCTCATTGGATAAAGCTAATATCTATTTTTATTAAAAATTAGCTAATACCTACTCAGCAAGGTCAAGTGAATTATCTAATAAATTACAAAGTAAAAAATCAAAACTCAAGACTGCCAGTTCAAAATGCAGCCTTCCGTCCCTCCTCCATCAGGACAGGGGAAGAAAAATTGGCCCCGAGTTCACAAGTGCCAGCTTTGTCAAAGGCTGTGCTAGGGGCTTCCTGATTGGCGCCATTTCATTTCTCTCCAAGTGGAGGGTACCTACCACTTCTATTTCACAAAGGCAAAGAATGGAACTCAGAGAAGCTAAAGGATGGGCAAAATCAGGCAGCGAGAGGCAAACTAACCGAGGGTTCACAAAGTTCGCGCTGGGGCAACTGGGCGCCAGGCTGCCTCGCGGAGGCAGTTTCCAGGCTGTGCCGCAAGGGGGCAGAAACCAAGGAGGGAGGAAGCTGTCCGGGGTCCCCTAGATCATGCATGGGTCTTGACGCTTCCATTTTTAAAATTAAAAAGAAAATTTTAGACTCTTCCGCAACACTTAAGTATTCTGATCGTCGAAAAAATATATCTAATAGTCAATAAATAGGACAGGAAAAAAAAAAGTGGGGGGAAGCGGAGAGAGTGTTTCGCACAGCAAAATAACAGAAGTTCAGTTTGGCTCAATTCTTTTTTTGAACTTTTAGACAGAGGCGAAGTTTTCTGGATTCACCTGAGCAGGCAGTGTTAGTGAGTGGCTCACCACGGCGGTGATCTGAGAGCAGAATTTATATTCTTCCTGCGCATTGGGCAGGGGATTGTCATTTCCTCCATCATTTACAACCTGCGGCAGTGATTTGGGTGGCAAGACAGGGCAAGTATTTTCTCCTCCTTTAATTCAGCATCGCTCTGACTCCCCCCGCCATATTTTTCTACTGAGTAGACAAGTTTCATTTACTAATAAATCTGTCAACCCTTAAAATCAGGAAGATCTTTGTAAGTTTGCAAGCTGTGCATTTTTTTTTTTTTTAAGAAAGCATGGCTGGAATTTCAGAGAATTATTCAAGTTAACAGACTTTTGCATAGTCTATGAAGATGATTAGTAGCTCATGATTTAAAGTGAAATATGATCCATTACTATCTAGCCCTGGTGCTGGTGATTCATACTCCCTGCCCTAAGGCTGGTCTTTTGTTTGTGTGTTTGTTTGTTTGTTTTCCCCTAGCCATGACATAACAAACACTTTTTTGAAAAGGAAAAAAAAAAAAAAGTATAATCCACAAATTTAGCATAGAATGTAAATGTTTTTAGTGCCATCTTAAATTTTAGTATAATTTAATATTAGCAAAATTTAGCTTGGAACATTTTATTTTTAAGATCAGGATCTTGCACAGTGTGGGCTAGAAAATAAAACTCCTTTCTTGGTTGATAGTTCCTTGTTTCTTTTACTGAATCTGAACTGGTATGTTTGGAAGATAAGTACTTGAATTGTTTTCTTAGGAACTCATTTCTACGGGGTCTTTAATACATAATAGGAATTCTCTGTGTTCCTACTTATCGGAAGGTTTTATAGCTGTTGAGCAGCCAAACAGGAGAGAGTTCACTGAGGTAGGCTGGGGACGCTGGAGAAGGCTGAGGAAAGCCCATGGTAGCAGGAAAGGAGGCGTTCAATTATTGTGTTAAGAGATAGCATCTCTCCTCTTGGGAAACCCATTCCATCTGGAGACAACAGCCATGGATGCATCAGCCCAATATACACGCAGAGCCAGGTGGAGGGAAGCAAGGGGCAACAGAGAAGCATGGCTGGCCAACAGGTCATATTCAGAGAGTCTCAGAGCAGGCCATATTGGTAGATCCAGAGGCAATGCAAAGTATCTCTACTGCCACTGATGGCCGAGCGACAGGACTAGGCTCCCAGGAAAATTCCATCCCCCTGAATGTCTGTTAGTGGAAGAAACAAACAAAAAACCCACACAATTTATAAAAACAAAATATTTGTTGAATTTGTGCTATTTGATAGTCACTGTAAAAATGGAATAAGATAGAGGCCTATTCTTCCCAAGAAAGTCATGCTTCTTGGTGGTAAATGGTTATGTTACTAATGATGATAACAGTAATAGCTAGTTTGGAAGTTTACTAACTTTGATGTACTATTATAAAGTCTTAAATTTTCATAAGCCTATGAGGTGGGTACTAAATTTTTTAATATTTAATCTTCCTCATCGTATGAAGTAGGTACTTTCAATAGCCTCATTTTATAGAGTGGAAGAAATTGAGATACAGAAATATATATATATAATAAGCCCCAAATCACTCACTTTGTAAGTCTAGCTCCAAATGCTGTGAGCTCAGCCACTATAGTGTACTGTCACATGCTTCATGTGTGCTAAGACAGACACTCCCCGCGGACCTAGGAAAACAAATAGGGAGGTGACGGTGGCGAGGACATAACTGAAATTTCATGAGGATGAGATCTGTCTATAAATGTTTTATGACCTAATGTGCACAAACTCAATTAAATTGTTCTAATACTTTAATTCTCAGTGTATTTTCTGGTGTGTAACTGGGTTTTCTTGCTGCATATTAGTTTATGAAACTATTAAAGAAATTGTTTAATCTTGTTTCTGGGCTTTGGGCTCTTGGGTTCCCCAGATAGACATTGAGAGGAAACCCCAGAGAAACTTCCAGACAGATTTTATGAAGCTTATGCCTGAGCACCAGGGAGGCAGCACAGAGCAAAGGAAGGGCTTCCGACCAGGCTGAGGGGCTGGCTCCCCTTGGCTGCTGTTGTAAACTGAGGACAAAGTAGGCATGCAAGCAAAAATGGCAGGCTTGTGGAATTTTTCGTTTCAGGGTCCAGGTACTTCCTTTACTAGCTGCAGGGCACAATGGCATGCTGCTTATGACTGCCCCTCCAGCAAGGTTCCATAGAGGACAAGCCTTGGTCAACTGCCCATGTGGGTCAGTAGTTTCAACATCTGCAAGGAAGCAGGCAGTCAGAAAGGAGATAAAATCAGCTACCTCTGTGTTTTTGAGTAGGGAAGGGAGAGGTGGTAACATTCTTGCGGTCAGCTTATCTGGTGTTTCTTCTGGCCACCAGGTCTTAGCTTGGCCTGCTGACCACTTGGTATTTGTAGATCCTGAGCCCAAGTCCCTATACTTTCTTGTTATGATACAGGATTATAACCAAACACAACGGAGTTCATGCGAATAATTTCAATAGACAAGGCATGGGCCAAATTTTTAACGTAAGATATGAAAGGTTAATAATAGAGTGGAATAAAAATGAATTTCTCTTTTCCCTAGATTAGAATTATGCAATACTATGGACAAAGGAAGAGAGAAAGAAAAAAACTAATATTAAAAAATTCAGACTGAAAAATAAGGGCCTACAAGTAGGAAATGTAGAGCTGTCTCTCATGGTTCAGATATATGTGTGGCATTAGTTTCAAATGCCCATTGCATTCTTCATTCCATAGATATTAATAAATGTTGTTTAGATAGTTATTATTATCCTGCTCATCAAAAAGTTAATACTGAACACCCAGTTATGTGTGGTATGATACTCAATACTATAGGACAAATGCTACATAGACATGGTTCTTAACTTTTACAAAGGAAGAATTTAAAAGAATAGAATGTTTCACACTATTATATTTGTGAAACAACAACAACAAGGATTTGTCACAAATATTAGAGGCTATGCTCACATTTGAAATTTGAAAAAAATCGCACACATTTTAAATCCTGCATCCTTTCAACTTTAGCATAGTATACCAAAGCCTTCTATTGTATTTAATGAAGAGAAAAAGCATTTTATTCTAAAAATTAACTCAGGATTTTTAAAAGAAATGTACACTTAAACTAAAACGAGATGCTAATAACTACCCACTTGAATACCTTAAGTCAAAAAGGCTAAGCATGTGAAGAGTTGGGGAGGACATGGAACAAACTGGAACTTTCATATGTCACTGATGTGTACACAGTTATGTGCATACGTTGGTGAACTGTGCAATGGTGTCTCATAAAGTTTTAAAAGAGCAGTATGATCTAGTCATTTAATTCCTAGTTACCCAAGAGAAGGTCTATTCTGCAGGCTCTGAGAAGGTTGTTGAGTGTGGAAACCTGAAGGCAGGCTTTGTGAAGGTCACTTTCAATAGCAAGAAATAGGCTGAGCTGGGACAGAGGGTTTGAATTATTGAGCATCACAGAATGTCAGTAATCTTCTTGGAGAGCTTGCTAAAATACAGATTCCGATTCATCAGTTCTGAGCTGGGACTCAGGGGTCTACATTTAATATTGATGGCCTCAGATAACATCCTGAAAAAAAAGAAAAGTTAAAGTAAATCAACTGGTAAGGAACTAAGGAAAGTATCCACATGGAATGTAGAAAGGATCTTAACTGGGATTAGCTGTGGGGATAAAAAATAAAGGTCAATCTTTGAATTTATTGAAAAGGTATAACTAACAGAAATTGGTGAGTAATCCAGAAGATAAATATTAATGACAATGATCCAGCTGTTTGGACTCTGAGTTGCTGAATAGGAATGATATCACTCAGAAAAATGGAGAACACATTGATTTTTTTTAAAAAAATCCCTTGAGATCAGGCTGGAACTTTGAAACTTAAGAGACTTTGAGGTGGAAACAGCTGGTGGTGCTGGTTCAGGAAGTGAGGGCAAATGGGTTTTAAAGACCCTGGCATACAGATGAGAGCTGAAGTTACAGAAGGAGTTCCATCACCAATCGGAAGAAAAAAAAGCTTTCGAGAAAGTAGTTTACGGCTCCTCAGGATCCTCTGAGTGGGCACGGGATTATACATCAACAAAGAAAACTGAAAAAAGGTCAGTCAAGATAAAGAAGCATAAATAGAAGTGTGCACTGTACAGTTTACAGTGAACTCCCACAGGGTTTCACAGGCGGTCATTGTAATGCTGTACAAACGGGGGAAAAGTGGTTTTGTGATTTATCCAAGGTCAAGTGACTAATTTACGTGGGCTGACCAGATGTCAAGTAACACTCTTGGCTAAAAGTTCAACGTTCTTTCCTTTAAGAAATGTTCTGTGATATGTGTAAACACAATCAATGCACTAATGTCAAAATACAGAACTATTGCCCTGTGAAATAATGAAAGAATATCATTTAAACATAAACGGGGTTATTTCTTTCCATATACATGGCAACTAAAATGATAATCACTTGTTCATGCCATTGGCTAATTCCATATTGCAAGTGGGATTAGACATAGCAATGAGGTCTCTAGTTAAAAAGACGCCTAACTAGTCCTCTGCCATTAATAGCCAGGAAACTAGGAAATTCCTTCCCAGGAGAAATAAATTTTAGTAGTTTTATACTTGAGGATAATTCTGTAAATTACTTTGAAGAATATGTATATGAGAATATGAAATGGAGAAATTTCAATAAGGCAAAAAAAAAACAACCCAAACCCATTTCATTTTTCAAATAACATTTCTCTCTTTTTTAATATCAAACAAATGAAATATGTTTGCCTTTGCTTAAGCTTATACTTATTTTAGTATATTTTTAAAATGATATTTTAAATGAATTGTTTTGCCTACCCTTGTGATAGCATTTAGACAATGTTTCTCTTTTTTTCATTTAATATAGTGTGAGCTAAGACAGGAAAAGAAAAAGGTTTTCAGAACTCCAACTCAGTAGGGAGCTTGGAGACATGGCCACCTTCTAGCCATGACTTTCAGCTTTCCTGCTATCATCTCAGCTGCAAGAACAACAAAATATAGGTGTGTTGGAATAATTGGACTATATTAATCTCTTCAAGCTGATTTACTAGACTGCAAAACATCAGGGCTTACATTGGTCTACATTGACTAAGTAATGCTGCTCAAGAAAATTACATTTTTTTCCAGGAAATGAGAATAGAATATCTTCTATTCTTTAACAGAATGCCATTCTACATACAGGATCTTGGTGATCTAGAGAGTTTCCCAGGAATCAGATAAGTTTTTCAGTATAAAAAAGTAAAAGATCAGCCATTATTGTATTTGCTTAAGATTTTGTGTATGTTATATTTTGTGTATTACATTATATTACAGCCCCAAGATTCAGGATTGTAGAACTGTAAGAGTCTACTGTATTACCTCCCACATATTCATGGTAAATGAACCCAAATGGGGTTTGAATAAATGACGTGGAACCTCTGTGTGCGCATGCTATGGGGAGAAAATGATCGCAATTACAAGAACCAAACAGGATTTCATTGCACGTGAATAGATGTTCAGCTACATGGTAATTATGTAAGTGTTACGGAGACGAGAGCTGTACTAGCAGGAATTTGGAGAAGGCAAGCTGTTTTGCTCTAAAACTAGATCAAAAGACTTTATTGAAATTATCAACAGAGAAATAGTTTAGTGAAGCTGAATGGAAGTAAATTCGCATTTTTTATATTTACATTTACTTTGATGCACATGTCTATCTATGCTATGTGGAAAATGATGTAAACAACAAATTTCCCCATTTTGCCACAATGATACTGAATTGTTTGAATAGTGTCAAGCCAATTTTTTTCATGTTTTTTAAAATAAAAATGTGTTTTTGTTTTGATTTCCTAGTTTATTATCAAAATATTTTCCAACCTTTTATTCTTATATAATCTTTTTCTCATAGTTCGTGCCTACTGACCTTTAACTTGCCTTCAATATGACTAACAGATTAAAGGAGAGTTTCAAACATCCAGTCAAGTTGAGCAGTGAAGATCGTAGGTAGGCAGCTGTAGACACATGAACTCTGAGAGCTGGCGGTGGTTCAGAACACTTGGGAAGTCTGGGTTGGGAAGAAGGGAGAGGACAGAAACCTCTAGGTTGACGGTGTCTGGTAGGTGGTGAGGAGTAAAGGGGAAGCTGCTGAATTTGTTAGACAGCTTTGGGTCTGTTTCATTTGTGCTGCCAACCGGCAGCCCGCCTTGAGCAGGTCACTACTCTTGTGTCTTAGTTTTCTCATCTGTCAACGAAGAGGCCCACTTCAAGGTCCATTTCAGTTCTAGAATTTCATCATGTATTGCAAAGGAGAGCGATACAGGTATGACATCATCTTATTAGCTCCTGTTTGATATGTTATTTAACTTTTATTTTAATTGCATGGACACAACAGGGAGATTTAGAGACAGTAACCACCTGTTAGGCATGGCAGTGTTGACTACACACTGAGTGCACCAAGGGACAACAATGCGGTGATTGCTGGGGGTTGGGGGTATAAAGGGACTAAATGGTAATGGAAAAAAAATACAATAAAGATTAAATTAAAAAAAAAAAAGAGTGCACAATAAAGGGCTACCTAGAGAAATAGCTATAGTGAAGTCAGCATTATATATCCAAAAGTATCTCACTAAAGGATGATTATATCAACTATTATTGAAAATAAGGCTACCCTGGCTGGTGTAGTTCAGTGAATTGAGTACCAGCCTGTGAATCAAAGGGTCCCTGGTTCAATCTCTAATCATGGCACATGCCTGCATTGTGGGGCAAGCCCCCAGTAGGGGGCGCACGAGAAGCCACACACATTAGTGTTTCCCTCCCTTTCTCCCTCCCTTTCCCTCTCTAAAAATAAACAAATAAAATCTTAAAAAAGAAAAGAAAAGAATGCTATGAGTTAAAGAACCCCTTCCTAAGATTACAAAGTATAAATATGATTGCAATATGGGTCAATGCTTGAGTTACTTCTCTACTCTTTAAACAGATTGTTAGACCACCTGCCTATTAAGTATACTATAATACAGAAAACCAGTTCCTACCCCTCCAGTATTCTACTGAGTGAAGCTATGAAACATTTCCTCGAGAAGCTGGAAAGTACAGCCATGAAGTTCTTTATCATTGAGAAGCTGTCATTTTGCCAGTACTTACTAGGTATTGACCATCAACTTGTAGAATCTACCACAGCAGGTTTTACAGAAACCTTGTTAATAACAAGCATTACTAAAACCATTTGGTGGAGGAGACAGTTAGGGGGCAATAATAAGGAACAAAAGCCCAATGGTTTCATGGAGGAGACCGCCTATGTCATCTCTACTGTTGAAATCTGTCCATAATGCTAAAAGAGCTCCTATCTCTAACTTTTTAAAAAGCGTGTCTTTGTTTAGCTTTTAACTCTGTTTAAAATATAGACTATCCATAGTCTGATTACATTTTTAAGGCCTATTTGGAATTTCTTGAAAGGTAGATGGTGTTCAAATGGCTATTCTCCAGTAAAATTCGTCTCCAAAGATAGGACATGGAACGGAAAGAGAGGGAGCTCAGGAGACAGACGGCATTCACAGCGTGCATAGAACCTCGGCGTTAACTTTTAGCAGGACTCGAGGCCTTGGCACATCCCCAAACCGAACTGTGTTGTGTTATAGCTGTGAATCATTTCTCTCCCTGTTGTGCGTCCTTTTCCCACCATCCACACCACTTAAATGCCAAGAAATCTGCAACTGACCTTTTCATGGCTCTATGCTGAGATGCCTACCATGGTGTTTCTAATCCCTGTCAATTTCTTTCCAGACAGAGCTTTTTGTTCATGCCTTCAAGGATCAGCTGGTCAGAAGCGCTCTGTTAGCACTTTACACTGCCAGGCCAGGAGGTGTCCTTAAAAAGCCACCCTCTCCAAAGGACAGTGCAGAGGAGAGCTGTCCCCAGGGGTCGTCCTCGCCGATGAGAAGGCAGGATTCCATACCCCATCATTCAGACTATGACGAGGAAGAGTGGGTAAGTCTCTTGCACATCGCTTGCTTCCTGGTGTTCAGTCCTGGGAAATAAAGTCAGAATGAGAAGAAATCACTGCTTTTCATCAAAACAAGGTGGAAAGCAGTCAAGGTACAGACTGTGGATGAATAAGTCACATTTTTCCTTTGGGGCAAATTATAAATGGAAGTTTTATTCTTGATCACATTTCTTTGACATAAAATTTATTTGCTGTCAAATAAATTATACATACATAACCAAGAATATGTCATCAAAGCAAAGATGTCACCATTGCCAGATTCTATAGTACTTTTTCTTATTTATTGCCAAGGCAATAAAAACCATTAAAAATGGGGTTTTTTTAGAAAAAGAGTCAGAAGTTATCTACAAAGCACTACTTGAATGCAACAAGTATTTTCAAAGTTGCAGCCCAGTGTTTTAGTTCTGGGCATACCTTAGAAAGTATTAGTGTTTAAATGGCAGCAGATGTAAGACTCTCTTAAATCCCTCTTGTTCATGGTTCGATGATTAAAAAGCAGATGTTACTGCAGGTGCTCTCAAATTAGCAGAAGAATGGCCACATAAAAGCGTATGAAAAGAAAAAGGAAAGCCAAGTAAATAAGGGGAACTCCGCTTGGGCAGAATAAGGCAGTAGAGACATGAAGGTGCTGGGCGAGGGGGAACGCTGTATTATTGCTGAATCAATACCTATTGATTGTCCACGATCCCTTTAAATACACACACACACAGGGAAACTCTTTACTGTGTCCTATATTTAACCACAAAAATAGTGTGCTGGCCGTATTAGATGTTAAATAGTTAACAATTACTTTTCCTGCCACTTAAATTTAAACGTGTTCACGGAGTAAATTATTTGAAAGCCCCAGTTCTCTAAAAAAACTGCTGTCTGAAGGGCTGTGAAGTGATGCCGCTCTCTCTTCAGATAAAATTTCTATCAGAGGAACAGCAGAGCTGGGCTCCAAGAGGTAAATGCTGAATAAGTATTTGTTGTTGCTGATTAAGATTGCATTTCTCCCACTGAAGCATTTTTAAAAGAGCAAATCTAATATTTCTGCCTTTTACCTCACCTTCTTCTTCAATTTATTCACAGCTCCAAGGCATTCGTACCTCTTAACCCCTCTGAAGTTCAATTTGCTCAACTGTAAAGGGAAAATAGCAGCACCTGTTTGGCTCAGGGTGGTCATGAGATACACAACTTACCTGTGTGATGATTCTCCATTACCTGGAAAGGCTGAGGCCAGTGCATTGCAATAGTTTAGTATTATCGCTCTGGGTTTTCTTTTTTTAGGGTATGTAAATTATATTATCTTATTATGAAGACCAGTACTATCCCTTGAGATAAATGGGAAAACTGGATCTACCACAAAATTCATACTGTGAATTTTAAGAGTTTGGGTAGACATAGAAAATAACTTGTATTTCATTTAATTAAACATAGTGTTAACCTTTTCACAGATAATTTCCATTTTATATTAAACCAAGTGAGACTTTGGGAACTGGGTGTCTTTTATTTTTATAATCTTCACCTCGCTGTGTAATGCAAACCCTCACACCTGGCCTTCTGCCGGCTACACAACAATGTGTCTCTTCTGCCCTCCCTCCTTATTTCCTTCTCTTTAGATACTTTTGGGACTTTGTAGGTCCTTGGGTGCTTAGAGCTGAGTCCAGTGGTGAATAAAAACACATGAACAAATAGGAGAGAGACAGGTGGGAAGGTAGGTTCCATTAATGTGGTTTCAGTGCAACATTTGATACCAGAACCTTCCTACTGTGGGTCGAGATGGAAGACGGTGGGAAACGCAGGGCAAGGTGAGGGCTTTTCAGCCAACCCTCCTGTTCAGGGTGGTCACTGAGCACCTGCTCTGCCTGGTCCATTCCTTCGGAGGGCTGCTCTCCTCCAGGCTTTCCCTTCACGTGCAGGTGGTCTTCTTCATGCTATGACGTTTTCCTGCGGTGCCACTCAGCTTTCAAATCCTCCGTTTCCATAAGGACATAGAGGTGAACCACGTAAGCCTCAAGGACTCCACAGCCTCATCAGGGCTCTGGAAAGACAAGTGACAATTGCAGTGCGATCTAGGGTTGAACAAGGAGTGAAGCAGGAGTCCAGTGGTTGTGGTGAGATTCCCAGGAATTCTTCAGACTTACATGTGTGTGAGTTCAGCGTTCGAGAAAGAGTTGGAGGAGGCCTTTCAGACATGAACACATTAACTGACAGAGAGAAAAAGAGACAGTAGAGGTTCTTATTAGTTGTTTACTTGTTTTGCTTAAAGGTGTTGAAGTGTTGAACATTGAGCCTGTTTATACTACAAAAGCCATCTGAGAGTCAGAGAGACAGTGACTAATAGAGTGAGGTCCTTACAGAGGCGAGGAGAGAATCAACTCTCGTGCGCAGGGGAAGGACAAGTCCTGGTGGAAGCTGTTTTCCACTGTCTCCAGGAGGGTACAAGATGGACTTGACTTTTATGATTGTTTCTTTAAAATAGTTTTCCAGTTTTATTGACAATGACTGATGTACAAATTGTATTGGCGTAAGGTGTACAACATAATGATTTCATTTTATATATATATTTCTAAATGATTACCACAATAAATTTAGTTAACATTAATCACCCTACATAGTTACACATTTGCTTTAATAATGAGAACTTTTAAGCCAGACTTACTGGCTTAGCAACTTTGAATATACAATGCGGTGTTAACTATAGTAACCGTGCTATACGCGACATCCCCAGGACATATCAATGTTATAGCTGGAAGTTTGTGCCTTTTGACCACCTTTCCCATTTCCCATAGCCCCCACCTCTGCACACACCGAGCGGTTTCTGTTTCTGTTTCTGTGAGTTTTTTGTAGATACCCCACATCACTGACATCGAACAGTAATTGTCTTTCTGTCTGAGTTCACTTAGCATCATGCCCCCAAGGTCCATCTGTATTGTTGTAAATAGCAGGCTTTTCTCCCTTTTTTGGCTGAGTAATGTTCCATGTGTGTGTGTGTGTGTGTCACATTTTCTTTATTCATTCACTTCTCAATGGATACTTACGTATTTTTCCATATCTTGGCTTTTGTAAATAATGTTGCAATGCATGTGGGAGTGCATATGTCTTTTGGAATTAGTGTTTGGTTTATTTGGATAAATAACTAGAGGTGGAATTGCTGGATTATATGGTAGTTCTGTTTTTAATTTTTTGGAGGAGCCTCCATACTGTTTTCCATAGTGGCTGCACCAGTCCACATTCCCACTATTAGTGTGTGAGTTTTCTCTCTTTTGCACAGCCTTGCCAACACTTGATGTGAGGTAGGAATAGCATTTGATGATAGCTATTTCTACTGATGTGAGGTGATATTACATTGTGGTTTTCATTTCCATTTCCTTGCTTGTTAGTGATGTGGAACACCTTTTCATGTAGCTGTTGGCCATTTGGATGTCTTTTTTGGAAAAATGTCTATTCAGATGCTCTGAACATTTTCTTTATTGAATTGTATGAGTTCTTTATATATTTATTGTATATTAACCTAGGTAGTTTCTTTATCCTTAAAGTAGAACCATATACAAAGACAGGGGAGCAGGGAGGATGGGCTGAGGAGAACAGGTAAAGTTTCAAGTGAGCTCCAAAGAAAATGGGTAGAGGAGTTTATTAGCAAGATTTGAAAAAACCGGGAATAATTTCAGTCTTTGTGAACAGCTAGCCAGACAAGATGCAGTAGGAGCCCCCCTGGTTGTTGGCTGCCCCTCAATCATTCCCTTGGAAATGCTTCGATCGCCTTGCCACTAGGAGAAAGGCTTCCTGATTTTTTCTCCCTCTTGATGCAAGACTATAGTCTCAGTTTCTGAAGTTTTCGTGGTTTCTCTCAAAGGCAAAACAGTAGAGTAATAATGAAGATATGTCTCTCCATGTCCTTTCACATAATTTCTGAATTTCCTCTGGAAGGCACTGTTATTAGAAATATATAAATGCTTTGTCTAAATTTACCACAATTAATTACAAGGAAAATCTTTCCCACTCAGAAAAGTTACTCCTAACTCTCTCTTCCTAATACAGCTTTACTCAATTTGCCGGCAATAACCAAATTTGATTGTTAGAGAGTGTCCTTATTTTTAACCACTTTCTAGTAAAAAGATTTCTTTGTCAAGAGATGAAAATTTCTTTAAAAAACTCACCAAAGTTATAACCATTTACCATTGTTTCCAAAGCTTTATCTAACTTTGAAAAGCTGTGTAAATTCAAAGAAAATGTAGCTAATTGAAAGTGCCTTTGGAGATTGTGCTATTAAATGAATTGGAAACAATTTTGTATGCTGCTTTTCTAGTTAATTAGGTGTTAGAAAAGTTTCGGCACTAATTACAAGTCTAGTCAACTTCTTGAATTAATTCAATGTTTTAAATTACTTTAATTGGGTTTCTGTAATATTATATGAAAATATTCTCTGATTACTTATGTTGGTTTAGGTTTAGATATATAGGAAGGGGCTTCATTTTTAAAAATCTGTGTGTTTTATTTAATTTCTTATAGTAACTATGGTTTTAACTATTATCTAACAGAAACAACTGTACTTAGGTTCTTATAATAAATATTTTTAAACTAAATACATGTTAGTAAATAACTCCTGGATTTTACTATGCTGATGCATGTAAAAATCTTTCTTTTTGAGGTCATGAGAAAGAATCTCTATTAATTCCAAATCAGCATGAGGCTGCTTCTTTTCAAATTGTTTTGTTGGCAAAATTGATGACATGACTAGATAATAATTATCTAGTCAATATGGAGGAGATTGAACCTAAAATGTCCATTATTTGCTTAATTTTACTTGTCAATGATTGAGTGCTTTAAGGCCTGATTTTTCTGAAAAGTTACTAAACAATTAAATTTCAAAGGAATATTGAGATTTTATGACAATCTGTGCAAAGAAATAGGCTAATATAGCATTTCTCATCTTTTAGCTGGTAAGGATGACATACTGCTTTTCTTTCTCTACATTTCTGCAACAGATGCTTCCAACAGC